GGGCAGGTTTAGTGGTCGTCTCTACCAGCATTACCTATGTGCTCAATTTGTCCTTATACTTTCATTACTTAAATCTCATTGTAAAGAACTCACGTGTTGTCCTCTTAAAACTACTATCACTTAACGAAATACTGTAAACGTATGCTTGTAAGGACAGCTGTGACCCAGTGTTTGGGTCATTACTCAAAAATGTACTTATTTATTCCCTGTAGAAAATAATTTGTTACATTACTCCTTTTATTACTTTTGCGTTGCTCCACAATGCAAGTTCACAACATTAGGTTAAACCTAACATATGCCCACATGTCAGCACAAATGTCTATTTGAATACAGAGGACATGCATGAGGCCTTTCTTTTATGCTCTTTACGATATAAGATGAGCTTTTATTAATTTCACAGTGAGGAAATTTGCATGTTTCAGCAGCAAAGGCTATAGAGCAGACATTTCCGAAATATCAGTGGCAAAAACTAAAATAAACCAAAAACAAGTACAAGTTTAGATTGTCCAAATTCCTCTGTGTTGCACATATCAGTGGGATTGCACTGATTCTTTTATCAGTGGAAAGATTTTAACTTTCACATTTACAACATTTTTATAATTTCCAGCTTTGAATGTGTTGACATTGCACTTAAAAGAAGTATGACAATAATATAATAATAATTTATTGAAGTCTTGCCACAAAGCAGACGGCAAAACTGGTGGAAATCAGCTGAAAGAGCGTTCTACAGGAAAATGTTTCAACGAGAACAAAGCTCAGTTGCATGTCAAAGAGAATCGAGGTGAAACTGGAAGTAGGCCACCAACTGTAATTGTAACTGATTTATAACTGTAGTGATATTATGGAATTTAGGAGCAGAAATGTGTTGCATTAAGGCAGTTTCATGCTTTTTGTGTCTGCAATTGTCTGCATGTGAATTTGTTCTAAATTTCGGTGTCTGCACAAGTTTGCACGGACTCTCTACATAAGCTAGGGAGACCAAATGGTGCTTAAAATAAATGCTTTTTGTGACGAGAGACTGTGTGCCGAGATCCTCCATAATCCACCTTTTATGATCCGTCATGAGAAGAGTTGCAATGGAAGTAGTCACTGCAGGACTTTGGAGGTTCTATGATTTGTACATACACTCCACTGAAGGAAACGGTGGGAAGTTCTGAATTCTCCAGATATCTTGTGGGGCGTCCTTACACTGGGCTCAGCTCATCTGACAGACATGATGCTCCAGTCTAATTGGTAGCAAGTTGCTATATGTAGGCAACCTTTTAGAAACGTCCACCGGAGTCCTGTTTGTCATTCTGGATGTTTGACATGAGGGCCAATGCAACCGTCCATTGTCCACATTCCAAGTCTGCATTGGTAAACGCATGGTGATGTGGAAAACGTGAATTTGTTGCATTGCAGATAAATGCAGTGTGATTCCAGTAATGGCTTACTTTGAAGGGTTGATCCTGGCTATTACCCTTTGAGGGAAGGTGCACCACAGTAAGCATGGTCAGGTCTGTGGACAGTGAAGACAATGAGTCTGTGGACAGTGATGTTTTGGACAGAAGTCTTTTGCATAATCGAGTTATTTCTGACCATTTGATGAACAAAAAGGAAGAGAGCCTGGCGTCGCCACAGCACTGGTGATGGTCGTCGACAGTTTTATTATGGACACCTTGTGTTCTTATGTTGAGTGTCCTTGAGAAAGACACCTGTTAGATGTGCATGAATAAGGCAGACTGAAGTATAAAAAAGAAAAAAATCCTTTTCATCGTACTGAGTAGGGACAAAAACTGGCATTGCAATTCTTTAAGTACTATAATTTTCACCAGATCACTTGAATAACTATCTGGAAAGAAAAAATCATTCTAGGATGATTACAGTGGCTTTATAGGGGAGTGCGTCTGCATGGAAAGTAAAAAAAAAAATATTTTTAAATATACATTTGGAACCTTTCTTATGTTGTGCCACACTTGCATAGACAGTCAAAGTAGTGTTTTTCTTTGACATTAGCGTTTAGCATTAGCTGTCGTGTTCAGATTAGGCTTTGCACTCGTCTTATGGAGCTTTGCGATTTCAATGGTCAATTGACAAATGACAACAATGGCCACATCAATATCATCCTTTGGATTTGGATTCAGATTGTTACATATATATATAATTTCCTAAACGGCATGCCATATATATATATATATATATATATATATAATATAGGGATATATGCAGGTTCTTAGTAATAACCTTAAAGCTCAAATGAATATTCACCTTGTTGGAGTGCAGTTCACAGACCCGGGTTGTGAAGCAGTTTGCTTCAAGCCTTTTAGTGCTTTGTTGCAGTTCAGTTGCAGGTACAGTCATCGATGATTCAGTGGAATGTCTGCTCTTAGTGCGAGTCAGAAGTCAAACTGTCTGTAAAGAGCACAAGTGTTTCAAGAAGTTCAGAGATACTCATCATTACCAGAGTATGCTCAGCGCTCGGGGAAGTTTGGAGTAGTTTGGATAAAAGAAAATTGTCATCTAGTGACTAGTGTCTGTGTTGTTGTTTGGCTTTAGTGCTATGAAATACAAATCTTTAGAAGAAGGAAATTAAAAAGTGTTTATTCCATTTCTTTTTTGTTTTTGGGTTAAATTTTTCACAGCTTCTCTGAAAACTGTGCTAAAAAAGTTTGCCTTTTGTCTTTACTTGCCTTCTGTCATTTAGTCAATCTTTCATTCTGCTTTTATTTTTCCAAAATTTCTTTAAAAATGTCTTCAGCTCTGCTTTCTTTTCCTATTGTCTCTTCTGAGACGTTCATCTTCTCGGTTCTCAGTCTGTCAGCGTCTTTGTATTGATCATTGTGTTGTTGTTGCAGACCAGCAAAGTTCATTTGCAGGTCAGGTGGTGAAAAAGACTCGTTCTAGAAACACGAGTCAACACTTTGCTGGGTAGATGCCGCTCAGAATATTCCCATCAACAAGACGCAAGTCTCAAACAGTCGACTTCCAGCGAGTGAAGGCCTACATCTTCTTCAGAAGGATGGATGGCGTTCAGGTTTAATTGCTCCTTTAGGGATAAAAAGTTCTGCTGTTGGAGTTTAAGCGTCTTCTCTGTAGATGTTTGAGCTGCTAAAACGTGTCGGATTTATACTTCCATAATAACGTGGAGATTCCTGAAGGGCTGTGATTCCTGCAAAGTGATCGTCACATTAGAAAGGATGCCAGACGATGTCAAATATTCTGAAACACTTTATTGAACTGCAACCGGTTATTTTTGCTCCAGAGCTATAGAGTCTCATCGTCTTAATATAAAACAGGAGCTTCTGTTGACATGTTGTCCTTCAAATCTCAGATTTATTTGTAGTCCAGCTGCGACTGCCTACAACTGTGTGGTGATTTATTGATTTATTTGTCTTCTATCCTTTCCTTTCTAAGAATTTACATAGATCCAACAATTGCCTCAGGATTCAGATTGTTCCTTGTTTTTTGATGAACCGGCCAAATGCTGCTGGTTGTGAACGCAGCGTGAAAGACGTGGTTTTGTTTTCCCTCAGTGTGTTTAAATGTTCTCACAGTTAAATTAATTCCTTTCTGTGAACTGTTTTGGGCCCATTTACAACTGATCTTACAAACTTCTATTTAATTAATGCTGCCCCTGATGAAAGCTAGTTTTTATTTAAAGCCATTAGTCGACTTGTCTTCACACATTAATGATACTGATTTAAATTTCTCAGTGTATGTTGTTGGAGGTCATCAGAAAATGATTCGGGTCCCAGAGAAAATATAATTTTAATGTAAGTAGCCTACTTCTAATTTTACGGAAGGGTAAAGTTGTTAACATTGTGCTACATCACAGAAAACTGCAGCTAATAATGAGCTTCAAGATATAAATACAACTCTGAAATACGAATACTAAGTTAAAACCTTAAAATATAAATACCTACACAGAAAGCAAGCAACACTGACAAAAGTTGTAATCTGATGTGCTGTTCCATTAGAAAAACAAGCCTTTATTTTACACGGTTCATTTAACATTCTGCAAAAAAATATATTATTTGCATCAACCAGATTCTATAAAAAAACATAAAACTCTGCACCTTTTTAATGCAACTGTGAAGCCATTAGTTACTCTGCTGTGATCAACAGCTTTGTGACCAAAAAAATATTTGGCAGAACTTAAATATGTTGGAAATGTCTATGTAGAGTCACCAGTTTTTCCCCAGTATTAGTAAGTCTTGTGGATAGTTTGAAAAACGTTGGACATATCGATTCCTGGTTAGAGAATTTTTTGTGAAATGAACAATTGGAGAAATTAAACTTTAAAATTTTGCCAAAAATAAACTGTTTGCTCCAATCAGATTCTGTAAAAGATTAAAAATTCTCTGCTCATCTGTGCAACTGAGAGGGCATGAGAGAGTCAGGTCTGTCCAACTGTCATGTGACAAAAATTCAGAGACTGGCTTGAACACAGAGCAGAGAGGAGACGAGTATGGAAACAAGCAATAAATGCAAGTAGTTAATTATCGATTGTATGTAGCGTCACCTTTTTTTCAATACTGGTAACAACTGTGGACACTTAGAAAAATGTACATGTGGAGTCCAGGTTTTTTTTTTTTTTGGTTTAAGAAATAATCAGCATTTTATTTATTTTTACATTAAAAAAAAAAAAATAAAATAAAGGACATTGGGCTGCAGGGTGGCGCAGTTGGTAGCACTGTTGCCTCGCAGCAAGAAGG